ACACACACAACTTCCTGACCATCATCCTCTAAAGGAGCCACTAGGATTTTTAGCACTGGCAGAGAGGCTTTCTCAGAAGATATCTGACATGTTGATTATCTGGCCAACTTGTACAACTGAAGTTTCCCATGGCTATGTCAAATGGTCAATTGAATAGCATATACTTTAAGATTACAGGTTGTTGCTCCTTCATGAGCTGTCTTTATCCCAACAAAGATCAGACACTCAGGATACCTTATAATTATAAAGCCCAGAATAAGAAACCACTAAGAAGCTGACCACGTGAAAAGTCTCAAATGCTTCCTCTCCTGTCAGAAATCTCTGTCTGCTGCTAAACTATAACTACAATGTCAACTTTTCCATGAACTGACAGAGGATATTAAGAAAAACTACCACCTGCCCTGAACTGAATTTCATCTCTGTTGCAAATATATATGCTCCTAAATATACAGAAAACCACAAATTCTGACCTTAATTAATTTACATACTAGATTTCAAAACCATCTTTAATACTCTGAACTAATAGTTCTCTTTTTTGGCATCTTATCCAAAAATCTAATATTTCTATTCAACAAACATCAAAACACTGACACACTGTATATTGTACACTACTGAAAATTCCTTCTAGATATCAGCAAGATATGAAAGAGAAAAAAATTACCCAGATCTTATCATAAACAGTATATTCTCCCTTGCAGAGGTTAATACAGTGGTAGAGTAGAAGTAACATAAATTTTTAAATCAGAGACTTTGAGTTGACGCCCTACCTTTGTATAAGGACAGTAGGTCCTCCACTAAGATAACACTAACCAGGTAGTTGTAAGGACTCAGTGAATAGGTGCAAAGACATTAAAATACACAGTAAGCCGTCAATAAACATTAGTTTTACTATTATTGTGTTATAATCACCTGACTCACTGGTGTGGTGGTGTATACCCAAACCAGAAGCAATCTGAGAAGCTGAGGCAGAAAAGATCTCAAGTTCAAGCACAGCCTGGGCAAGTTAGCAAGACTTTGCCTCAAAGTCAAAACTTCAAAAAGACTGGAAAGCCTGGCATGGCAGCACACATCTGTTATCTGAGCACATGGGGAGCTCAGGCAAGAGATCACCTTGAGTTCAAGGCCAGCCTGGGCTACACAGTAAGTTCAAGGCCAGGATGAACTACATAGCAAGACCCCCATCTCCAAAAGAAAGGGGAGAGGGGTTTTGAAGATACTGCTCAGTGCAAATGCCCTGGGTTTCAACCTCAGTACTACAAAACTAGTAACAGTAGCATGGGTGTGGTGGCGCATACCTGCAATCCAGCTACTGGGGAACTAAGGCAGGAGGATTCCAAGTTCAAGGCTACTTGGGCAATTTAGCTAGGTCCTATCTCAAAAAATAAAAAGAGCTAAGGATATAGCTTAGTGGTTCAGTATCCCTTGCTCTGATCCCTAGTATTACAAAAAATAAATTAATAAGACAAATATTCTGAAAACTAGCTCTTTTATAATGAAATATTAAAAAGCACTGGGCCAGGGATTTAGCTCAGTGGTTTCAACACCTGCTGCGCAAGTGCAAGGACCCAACTTCGATCCCCAGTACCAAAAAAAAAAAAAAAGGCACCTTCCTCAGCCATTGTCCCTTTTATTAAGGTCATTCTGAAATTAAAATTATTTTATTTGAAATTTCTTAACCTCTCCATATGTTATTCTAAAACGCCAATTGTCAAATACTGTATTTAAACTCTCTTGAAGAAATACAGAAACCAAGTCAACAGATTTGTGTCCAGTGATTGCTGATTTGACCAAACAAAAAAGTAAAAAGGCTAGAAATGTATTATCTATTCCTAACTTTTCCATTAGCTGCTAAAGCCAGTAAATTCCTTAACCAGGAATATATGGTACCAGTATATTATAAGAGCACACTGCATATACTACACAAATACTTCAACCACTTTAGAATGATACAAATTCTTCCTCTCATTTTGTTCCCCATTTCTAAAGGTAATAGAGATTTTAAAGTGTTTAGTGCTACAACAAGAACTCAGATTGCAGTATATCAATTTTTTTCTGACATCCACTAGATTGGTTACCACTGAGAATACAGCAAGTTACAAATCTTGGCAGGGATGTGGAGGACCTAAGACTCTTATGCAATGTCAGTGGGAAAGTAAAGTCCTACGGTGACTGTCAAAAACAGTATAGCACAGTTTGGATAGATCACTTGCCTAGCATGCCTAAGGCCCTGGATTCAATCCCCAACACTACAAAAAGAAACAATCAAAATCAGTGATTTCTCAAAAATTAAATACAGAAGCATGATTTGATCCAGCACTTCTGGACGTACACCCAAAAGAACTAAAAGCAAGGTCTCCAAAAGATATTTGTACACTCACATTCACAGCAGCATTACTCACAGTAACTACAGTTTGGAAACAACTCTAGTGTCCACAGAGAAATGAATGGATCAGGAAATGTGGCACATATACACACAAAGGAATATTATTCATCCTTCAAGAGGAGATCTTAACACATACTACAACATGGATGAACCCTGAAGACATGGCAAATGAAATAGACCAAACACAAATGCAGTATGATGATACCACTTACAGGAAGTAGCTAGAGTAGTCAAGATCAAAGAGTAGAATGGTGGTTGCCTGGCTCGGAGAAGGAAGGAATGGGGAGTTGTTGAATGAATACAGAGTTTCGGTTTAGCAAGATGAAGAGTTCTGCAGATGGATGGTTGTGAAAACTGCACAACAGTGTGAATGAGCTTAATGCTACTGAAGTATACACTTAAAAATGGTTAAGAAAGTGAATTTTATGTTCAGTGTATTTACCACAGAAGAAAAGAAAAGAGAGAGAAAGGAAAGAAAGAGAGAGACAGAAATGAGGGAAGTGGTCTCATTGAAAGGCCTAGAAGTGCTCCTATGGGGACTGACAGGCAGCAACAACTCCGTGGCTATCAGCCCACACCCACTTCTAAATACAGCTTGAGTCCTGTCCCCTCAGACTCTCCTTCGTTCCTTCAGCTTCAAAAGTAGCAAACAGGACTCTTGTCCCACCAATTCTGTATCAAAGCAGTGAAGAACTTAATCTCTAAACCAGACTCCCCTTTAAAACAAATGTAATTCCTACCTGCCTGCCTCACAAGGTTATGAGGGCAAAAGTGAGATCATGTATATAAAAGTAGCTTTAAACTGTCAACCACCAAAGAAACATAAATTATAATTACTTTCATATAGCCTTAGAAGGAGCTCTAACAACATAAGCCTCACAAACATAAGTTTCCAACACCTCACCTACGCTTCCATTTAAAATCCCTATCATCCCTAAATGACACCTTTCTTGTTTCTATCGTAAACTGAAGGGCAGCATGGGGGAAGGGGGACTGCTCAAATAATCTACAGCGCCTGAGCAAACTAGCCCAAAATGCAACAATAAAGTCCTATGAAAGTTGAATATTTATGACCCCAGCGTGAGCCTGCGGTGTCCCGGGACTACACTTCCCACAAAGCACCTAGGGGTGGGGGAGGAGGCCAGGACGGAGCGGCCTGGGATTCAGGGTGACCACTACTCTCCCCATCTGCAACGCTTCTGGTCCAGTGTGTACTAACCCTCCTTTCTGACAGCGACGTCACTCCGTGGTTTCTCCTGCAGGCAGCAGGGTGGTTCTCTTGGTCCACTCTCCCTCTCCACCCTCGGGGTCACCACCTAGCCGTGACCTTTTGGCTGATTTCTAAGGTGTCACAGAAGAGCACTTTCTCCCCCTTCCCTAGAGCTCCATTTTCAGAACTCGCCTAACAGCACGGTGGGCACGGCAGGGTCAGACCGGGCAAGCAGACAGTGTCCGGCACCCTGGGGCTCGGGCCCGCCCGCTGCCCCCGTACCGCGAGCACAGGGTCGGACACCCCGAAGCGTGGGCTGGGGCGGGTCTCGGACAGAGATGACTCCGCCCGGAGCTCTGGTTTCAATTTCGCAACGTGACGGTGCAAACCTGAGGCCTACAAACGCCGGTGGCGTCCGGCGTCCCGCGCCCCACCCGCCCGCCAGGCCCGAGCTCCCCAGTCCTCCGCCGCCTGCCTTCCCCAGCGTCCTAGCGCCACGCGAGAGCGGCCCAGGCCTCCGGCCCGGATCGGCCGCCACCCCAGGGCCCGCAAGGCGTTCGTTCGGGCTCGCCGCCGAAGGCTCGGCAGCACCACTTACTCAGCTCGTCCTGGGAGGCGGAGGCGGCGGCCGCAGCCATGTTGCGCCCCGGAGGGAGGAGGGAGGGGCAGGAGGGCGAGGACGCGCGCGAACGGCGCGGGGGGCTCCCGGCGCCTGGTGCGGCGGGGCCCGGGGGCCGCCTCCGGTCGGTCACTCGCACGGGCCGCGCTGCGCCCACGAAGCCCGCCCGCCGTCGCCTGCGTCCTCGGCGCTGCGAGCGTGGCTCTCGCCGCCCCCCGCGAGCTCGCGGCTCCCTAGTTCCCTCAACCTCGCGCCTCTGCGGAGCCGCCGCCCGTGCGCCGACTCCCCGCACGGCAGTTCTGCGGCTCCGCGCCGCGCTCGCCGGACTCACGCCGGTTTTATATTTAGAAAGAGCTGAGCCATCCTCCCAGCGCCCCCGCCCCCCCGCCGGCCCCTCACGCGCCCGCCCGCCCTCGCTCTCTCGCTCGCGGCTCGTCCGGCCCACCTGCCGCCGATCGCCCAGGCGAGCGCTCGGCGCGGAACCGGCAAACGGCGGCCTAACCGCCTCGCAGCGCGCGGAGCAGCCCGGCGCCCCCGCGGCCGCACGCTCGGCCTCCTGACCTGAGTCCGAGCCGGTCTCCATGCCCCGGGTGCGGAGCGCCGCCCCGCGAGGTGGGCGCCGTGGACGGAGGCGCTGGGCGGGCCGGGCCAGAGGAAGGGCGCGCTGCGGCCCGCGAGGGGCTGAGCCGGGTTATCCGGGCCCAGGGAGATCCTCGAGGCGGGGCCGGTGCTCCGGTTTTAAAGGGCTGAGGCTGTCAAGTTGGCTGGGCCCGACCTGAGGAAACGAGCTTGTCCAAAGGAAGAGACGTGGACTCGGAAAACCAGAGCCGGGTTCGGAGTCGGCGGGAGGAAGCCCCGCCCTGCGCCTCCCGCCGAACTTTTCGGCCCCGGCGCTGACTCAGTCCCGGGAGAGCCCCAGCGCCGCGGTCCGCCCGGACGCCCCAGCGCGAAGGTACCGGAGCCGGGGCTGCCGAGGGAGGGAAATGCGCTAAGCGCACGGAAAGTTAAGTGAACCAAGATTTTTAAAGTTGCGGTGAAATTATATGTGCGCTGTAAAGATTTTGTTCATAGGTTCTTCTTGGTGACCCGAGTGATTTTTCTTTTTTAAATTTATTTTTAAATTAATTGTATTGGTATACTTTAGACATACGTAATAATTACATTCATCATAGGAAATTTGTACCTGTACAGAATATATTTTAATCCCCCCCCATATCGATGAACTTTCTGCCTTCAGTTTGTCCATTAGGTCATGTACACTTGCAAAATGGAATCCAAATTAGGAGATTGCACAAGACATGGGGAGAGTGAGGAGGGTGGGAAAGGTGGGGAGGGGAAGGGGATGAAAAAGAATGTGTTATGTGCATATACCAACTCCCCTAGAGGACTGTAATCATTATGTCCTGCAAACATGTACTAATAAAAAAACCACTAAAAAAAAAAAAAACAAATTGACGGATCTCATAATTGCTGTACTTTAAGGTACTGTTGTCCCAAATTAGGTATGAGATATAGGATGCTTTTCTTTTTTATATACGAGAAAGAAATCAAGATCCTAAATAAATTGAAATATGATTTATTCCTAAAAACGTAAAACTCTAAACCCCTAGTGTCTTAAAAATGGAGTATACTTAAGGCAAATACAAGACACTTAACACTAAAGACATTGTGAAGTCTTGTTTACAGAAATTTACACTTTTAAGAAATGTAAATTATTTAGATTATCATAAAATTAAAAACCAAAAAGCCCTTCTTCACAGCCCCACTATCTCACTCTGCAGAAAAAATTACAGAAAATAGAATTGAATATGCATTCTCCTTAACTTTTCTCTGCACGCATCTATACAGACTTGCATACAATTTTGATGGGGTGGGGTTCCCTTATCATTGTTGTTCCCCGCTAGGGATGTAGCTCAGTGTTAAAGCAGTAAAGTGCTTACCTGGCATGCGTGAGACAGCCACCCCCAGGACCAGAAAAAATAAAATTGATGCTCAAAAAACTAAACCTTTTTGTTAATTTGGTAATCGTACATACCATAAACATGAATGTACTTAGCAGTATGTACTATTTGTTACATTTTGAGACAGGTTCTTTGGTAATGCAATGTACTGTTTATTTTTGAGCAGGTTTTCCACATGTTGACCAGGTAGCTTCAGGACTCCTGGGCCCAAGTGATCCTCCTGCCTCAGCCTCCTCGGTATCTTAGAACTACAGGCATATTCCACAGCACTGGGCCCCAATTACTTTCTTAAAGGATATTCCTCCTCTTTTGTTTAATGTTGCTTTCAAAATAACTGTGCAATCAACTACTTACAAACAATATGAAAGTGTGTAAAGATCTCCTCACCATATTCACCATTTCCTCATCCACCTCCTCAGAAATAATCCTTGTCAACAGTTTGGTGCATGCAACTTTTCCTATTTCTGTGACTATATAAAATGGTTGCTCAAAACACTGGTTAGGGAAACTGACATTCCATAACTTCATAAGGTGCTTTCCAGAGCCATCCCAAATAAGTACACATACTAAGTAAAAAACAATGAGTTAGACAATTTGTACCCTCCAGATAAGACTAGTCAACTCCTTGGTTCCTTATATGTAGAAATTACAGTCTTTCATGGGTGCAAATTATGTGTATGTGTGTACACAGATTTTTGTTTTGGTAAAAATAGAACCCTATTACACAGTATTATGTGACCGTCATTTTTTTCACCAAATCAAAAGATGCTTTTCATATCAGCAACAATAATAATAGCTAATATAATACTAATTGTCCCAAACACCATTCTAAATGTTTTACTTTGATGAATTCATATAATCCTTTCAGCAATCTTGGAAAGTAGGGGTATGTGTGTGCTGGTGATGGAACCCAAGTTCTGCACCCTCTACGACTGAGCAGGCTCTCTTCCCCAAAGTCTACGTTCTTAACCACTATGACCAGAATGTACAGAAATACTTCATTCTTTTAAATGTCTGCCTAACCATTCCTCTATTGAGCATTTAGGTTGTTTACACTGTTTTGCTATTGCACACAATGCTACTATAAAACATTTGTATACATATATCATTTTGTAATCACGTATATGTAGATACAAAACAGTAAGGTAAAAAAAGATTTTTTTTTCCCCAGTGCTGAGGATCAAACACATGGCCTTGCACATGCTAGGCAAACACTATACTACTGAGCAACATCTTCAGCCAAGATTTTTTTTAATATCCCTATTATACATACTAGTTTATAAGCAACTTACAACTGCTTTTGATCACTGCTGTTTAAAACTAACCTTTCTTAGAGTTGCTTATCCCTTCAAACTGTGTATTTTTGTCCACTAAATAGCTTCATATTTGTATAAAGTGCTTCAGTTGCAAATAGCAGCCTTGATATAATTCCTATCTAGAATCACTTCAATTTTCAAAAATATAAACAAAGGCTAGGAGTGTAGCTTAATGATACAATGCTTTCCTAGCATGCCTGAGGCCCTGGGTTTAATGACAAACACCACCCCTGAAAAAATACGGCAAAAAACATAGATAAGTAATTAGGGTGAAGGGAGGTGGGAGACCAGAGAAAAGGCCACTGAGAAACTAAAATATCACAAAATCCAAGAACCAAGAAATTGTCTTCTATTCCTTAGAAAGCTCCCTCTCCCATTTTTGTATACATATTCAATGTATATACGCTTTTAACACATTTGTGTATACATATTAAATGTATACACACTTTTAACAAGGGAAACCATCTTATTTCACAAATAAAGTAGAATATTAGAAAGTGCTCTAATATTCTGGAATGGTCCAAGGATGACAGAAGTGCCACTAGACACTGAAAAAAAACAAAAACAAAAATTATTAAATTAAACCACAAGAACTCAAAGGTAAGCATTACTGTGTTAAGGTATTTATAAAGTATAAAATGTACCACTCCAGGGATCTTGCAATCATTTCACTGTTCATGGTGCTAATCTGACATCAAGAAATAATAAAATGATAGCTGAGTGTGGTGGCTCATGCCTATAATCTCAGCACTCAGGAAGCGGAAGCAGGAGGATTACCAAAAGTTTAAGACCAGCCTAGGCTGCATGATGAGTTCAAGTCCGGCCTGTTTCAAAATAAAATAAAAATTAAAATAAAATATCTGATATATGAATATCAAAAAACAAAGTAAGCTAGACACAGCAGAGCATGCCTATAGTCACAGCTATTCAGGAGGCTGAGGCAGGAGGATCACTTAAACCCAGGAATCTGAAGCCAGTATAAACAGTTTAAGAGATCTTGTCCTTAAAAATAATAAAATAAGGGTCGAGGATTTAGCTCAGTGGTTTCACTGCTTGCTGGGCAAGCGCAAGGACCCAAGTTTGATCCCCGGTACCAAAAAATAATAATAATAATAAAGTATGGCCCAGGTGTTGTACACACCTATTGTGGTACCACCTTTTGTAGTACACACCTAGCTTCTCAGGAGGCTAAGGAAGGAGAACTCCAAGTGTGAGCCCAGTCTGGCCAATTCATTGAAACTGGATAGATCCATGGATGGATGGATAAGTAGATAGAGCTGGGAGTGCGACTGAGTGGTAATGCTTGCCTAGCATATGTGAGGCCTTGGGTTCAATCTTTAGTACTGCAAAAATATAAATGAATAAACAAATTAAAAATAAAGTGTGCTGGGTTTGACCCCCAGCCCCACAAAGAAAGAAATCATGAAGTATATTTTAACAGTGTTTTTTTTTTTTAATGATTATAATGAACAACTTCAGGTGCCTAAAATGATTAATGTTCAATTATCTAGGAAATTAAGTTATCTCAAGTGATTCGTTATCCTAAAGAGTTCCAGATTGGCCCAAATTGCATATAAATTAGTCTCATATGGTATTTGGTTCCTGAAAAAGTCAGGGACTAAACCCAACTTGCCCCCAAAATTCACACTTAAGCTCTTCATCTCTATTTTTTTATTCCATTATTTATTAAAAATATATTTCACTACCCATAAAATCATGTCATGGCTCAAGACATTCCACTTTCTAAAACTCATACTCACAAATACAAATGTCTATGACATAAAACCCTTCCACCCTAACTTCTTGTGAATTTAGATTAGCTTCTAAGATTAAGACCCTCATCATCTCAAATGTTTCACCTGGCCCGGGGATTTAGCTCAGTGGTGCCACCCCCTGCCTCAAAAGCAAAAGGTCCCAAGTTCGATCTCCGGTACCAAAAAAAAAAACAACAAAAAAAACACAACAACATCAAATGTTTTGCCTACTTTCTGGCCCATGAGTCCATGGATCTTGAAATCATTTCACTGTTCATGGTGCTCTGATCTTAGCCTAAACCCAAGAGATGGCAATGAATTCTTTCTAGAGCATTTTCAATTTCTTTCCTTTGTGTTACTCTACTCCAGACATTCTCAGTCAATTCCCAATCTGGGCAAATCCACTTTCTCTTTCCTCCCTAATATTATTTGAAACAAGGCAAAAGTTGATCTGGTTTAATATAAAATTAACCATGCCTATTAGTGAGGCTGAGTCCATTACTGTGGGCCTGAAGTGAGACTGGGTCCATGACTGTGGGCCTGAAGTTAGGCAGGTCATCGTGGCAGAAAGAAGCCATGGTGGAGCAAAGCTGGTCACCTGTTGGCAGCCCAGAAGCAGAGAGAGAGGAGAAGGGCCAGGAACAAAATACACCCTTCAAAGCCATGCTCCCAGTGACCTTCATCCAGTTAGTCCCCAACACCTAATAAGACCTCTGAGCTATGAACTCTTCAGTGCATTAATCTGTGAAGTTAGAGCCTTCATGATCCAATCGCTTCTCCAAAGTTCCATCTCTGAACACTGCTGCATTGGGTTCTGAGCCCCAGCACAGTGAGCCTTCTGGGACATTTTAGATCCAAACCATAACATTCTGCTCCTGGCCTCCGAAGGTACATCCTCTTCTCACAGTGCAAAATACATTT